GCAGGAGAAAAATGCAGCCACACCTGCCCTCTTTAACTGGGGAATTCAGGGCATGAGGACAGCAGAGACAGAGCGAGTGCACACCTGAGAACGCACTCCTTCCAGTTGTTGAGGCCTGAAGAATGGCCACTCAGAGAACCACTGCTTCCCCCAGAGGTCATGGCCTATAGAATGACCATTCTGAAAATCATTGCAACTGTGGGCAGGCTGCGGCCCAGGGAAGTCAGCATCACCTGTCAAATAAACAATGCACTGGCGCCGCTTCACAGCAGAGCCCTCTGGCAAAAGCTGCTTCTTGATCTTGCTTAGTGATATTATTATTTGTTATCAAAGACAGATTGTGGCTTCACTGCATAGAGATGTAGCCGAAAGATGAGGAGAATGGCCTAGGGGGAAGAAGCAGAGAAAGTTGCTTAGACATACACACATTGAATAATTAGTGATAAGAGCCAAGGAAATATTCATGACTCTGTGGAAAGAGAAATAGATTTTTGATTAAATTTGAGTTTTTCTCTTTAAAGCAGTTGAAGTTGCTTTGTGATTGGCAGCATGGAAATGAATTTTCTACATATTCTGGCTGGCCAGAGGATCCCATGCAGCCAAGATAAAGCCACAGCTATACAGCTGCCATACACTGGAAAGAATTCAGAGTGGCGATGCCAGAAGCCTATACTCTCTTGGCAGTTGCAGTGCAGCTGTTGAATGGTCAGGTTAACCCAGCTTCCTCTTCCCCCAGCTTTATCCATATATCCTACCCCCCAAAATGCCCCAGTTCCACAAGCATCATTTATTTAGTTAGCCCAACCTTCCACGAGTATGATATTGCCAGTTTGTTCATTGGATTTTTTTACACCTTCCACGAGGTTAGTGGATGCTTCCACACATTTGATTGGCGTTCAAGGGATTTTTGAATCCTTCTCCCCTCCTCTCCTCCCAGCTTCTGGGAGGATTCCAATAGATTCCAGCATGGGGGTCCTTTAAGAATCCTGTGAGAGTCCCTTCCAATCTGGTGGAGATAAGGGGACTGTGATGCTTTTGAGGTGTGTGATGGCAGTATGCAGAAGGAGATACGTTGGTATGCAGATTGCAGAACTGAGGTCCCTCTCTTTTGAAGGGATGAGTGTTGTCATACGGTGTGATTGGGGAGATTGTATTCCAGTCGTGCCCCCCTCAGTATCCAGAGGTAGGAGTGTTGGTGCCTGTCACTGATAAAGTTGCCATACAGGAATAAATATGGTGAGGCAATCCATATAACTAAGAGAGAAAAATGTTATTATACTCTCTCAATGCACCTGAAAATTCCATGTCTCCCCAGGAAACGTTCTGTGCCTACAGAGTGGGAAGTGTGGTGTAGCACCTAGACCATTGAACTGGGGCTCAACAGACTTGGATTCAATTCCTAGCTTGGCTGCTGACTTCCTATGTAACTATGGACAAGTCATTTTATCTACCCTGTGCCTCAGTTCCCCATCTGTAAAATGGGGATGGTACTTCCCTACCTTACAAGGAAGTTGTGAGGTTAAAATCCATTCAAGATCAAGAGAAATGCAAATACTATGGTGATGGGGGCTATACGTACCTAGACCGTGGCCTAACACATTTGCTACATCCTGATGCGCTTTTTCAGGTGGACATTGCATAGAAAGCTGCTGTGACTCAGCAGCAGAGAATGCACTCACAGTAATATGTCCATTACTATGGGCAAGTCTACACTATCGCGCTACATCGGCGCACCTGCACCCAGTGTGTTGTGCCCCTGAAGACGCGTTATGCCAATGGGAGAGCACTCCCCCATCGACGTAATTACTCCACCTCTGTGAGAGGTGGAAGCTGTGTCAGCGGGAGAGCCAACATCGTGCAGTGTGGACAGCACTTTAAGTCGATGTGATGTTTTCACACCCCTGAGCAGCGTAAGTTACATCGACTTAATCGGTAGTGTAGGCGAGCCCTGAATGACTTAACTGAATGGCTGGTTGAACCAAATGTCCAAGGTCAGATGTAAACTGTTTTTATGCTCTCTCTTCTGCAAGCGGTAATTGATGTTTTCAATCCTCACATGCATTGACACACATCCTACATCTCCCATCTTGGGCCCTTACACCGCTCTGACTAAGCACCTCCGTTCCCATCTGCAATTTGCTATGCTAGTCCAGTCCTGGACTCCAACCCAAAGTCTGTTACTGCTCTTCATCCCTGACCTGGATCTCTCCTAAACTGAGACTGCCAACTCTGCAGTGGTTTTATGATGTGTAGAAATACCTGCCAGGGATTCTGTCACTCGCCAAAATAATTTCATTTGCGATCCATGATGCATTTGATCGCTGATCTGAAAGCCAGTCCATTAACCCATTGCATCCCCCAAACCTCATCCCATATTATTATGATTCTGTGAAGCAATAATAGTTCAGTGGAGGACAGCCTAATGAATCTGCTGAAGATGAATCTGCCACTGCTTTTCTGTGTCCTGACTGGAGGATGATAGGACAGCTAGGAGGGTAAGGCTCCATGGCAGTAGGGAGGACAGTTATGGATTTGGGAGGAGATGATGAAGGCAGCTGTTCCTGGCAGTGGCTCAGAATGGCTGAGCTGTAACTTCTGGAGTTACAGGTGTGCGGCTGGGCGTATCTTTGTTTAAGAGTAACTGGACTAATGTACCTAGCATAGATAAAAACATACACATGCACAAACTACTCCGCACCTTACGCTGACATCAGTTTCTTTCTGACAAAGGTAAATGACCCACTGCAAAGCCCTGAAATTAATGGTAGCTTGGCCGAGGGCCAAGAATGTTGTTATGTTATCACTATCATACATGGGATTGTGGAGGACAAGATCAGTAATGAGGATATTCATAGCAACTGCCAGCATCAGCACTGGTTTAATTTTGGTGGCTTTCTTGGTTTGGACATATTATTAGGATGGAAAATTTTGAACTAAGTAACTCACCAAAGAATATGCAGGACATAAGAACTGGCAACAGAGCCCCAGTATCTTCACTCCAACTTCTGTGCTTTAGCCACATGACCACCTTTTCCCTCCCAAATATGCAGCTACATGCCAGTACCAAATCCACCCAACTATGTGAAGACCGAGTCCAATTTTTATTAAATTAGAATTGAACCATAGTCTGTTTTGACTCAATAATCTAAATTTACAAGCTCCCTCCTAAATGAAGACCACCTGAGGACTACTGATCTGATCGCTCTGGTTAGAATGTCCCTTGTTACCTCACAGAGAGAGTATTTGTAAACGCTACCTTCTGTGGACAGTTTTCAACTGTCCCAAACTTTGCTGAGCCTTGCTTCACAGGTCTATATCACATTGCTTAAGCTTAGCTTGCAATGTGATATGTCTACACAGAAATCAAACACCTGGGCCACCTGACTTGGATTTGCAGGGCTTGGGCTGCAGGGCTATAAAATTGCTGTGTAGACATTATGCCTCAGCACTGAGCCCGAGCTCTGGGACCCACCAGGGGGGAGTGTCACAGAGCCTGGGCTCCAGTCCAAGCCCAAACATCTACACAGCAGTTTTTACTCCACAGCCCAAGCCACATGAGCCCAAGTCAGCTGACCCAAGCCAGCCATGGCTGTGTCACGGATCTTTTATTCCAGTGTAGACGTACCCTCAGAGTCCTAAATATACCTTGGGTTTATCATGATCCATCTTCCCAGTGCCATGGTATTGAATCCTCACATTGGGACATTGCATCTGTATATTGTGTCAGGATGGAAGTACAGTGTGTGCAGTAATAGCATTGTGCATCAATGCAGTGTCCCAACACAAAACTACAAACATTGTGACATAAAACAGGCATCACCAACCACATGATTATTTTGGCCCAAAGGGCAAATACACAACTGGGGCAGCCTTGTAATTACCAGGAGATGTCAGTAGGAGTGTCTTGGGTAAGTGCTTAGGACAACTTGGGTCCCTCCTGCTTTGTGACGCTCCCTTTAGTGGATGCTATAAAGTAAATAGTCATTGCTGTAATCTCTAGGAAGTCCATCCTTTCCATTTTTTAAAAAACAAAGTCGCATGTTAAAATCATGGATTAGAAGCTGTTATGCCCACTGGAGAGGCCAAGAGCAAGTGAAAGATGACATTACATGATAATTGGAAAGGTGCAGGGGATGATTCAGGTGCATGTATTTGATTGGTCTGAAAGTGTTTTTTAAAAACTAAGCTAGCATATGCCATGATTGCCTTTAATTTTATACAGAGGGCCAGGTAAAAATATCTGATGAGAGGCAACTGGGCTGCAGTACTGCAGGACAGTGTATAGCTCTCCATTCCTCTTCTCCGTTGCATGGTATAATACAATTTGAACGGAGCACAATGGGTAGAGTTCTTTTTGAATCCTGTAAGTGTCCATCCCAGGAGCCTCTATCCTAAGCTAGGTGGAGCAGGGGAATATGTGGTCTTTGGTGGCTGCATCTTCACTGCAGAAAAGCTCTGTGCTGATGGGTAAATTACCATACTGGGTTTGGGGGGGCTAATAGAGGCTCATGCATTTTTAGGGATGTATTGCTATGTAAGAGTTGGGTGGAAAGGTGGGCTTCCCCTAAGCCCATACAATACATACAACTATGCCTCCATCAATATGAGCTAGACCGTCTAGGTTCCAAATGGGACCCCAAGAACAGGAGCTTCTTCACCGCAAGACCCTGGTCACAGTGGGCTTTCATGGGCTTTGCTGAAGTGGGATCAGAACTCAGAAATCTATTCCTGAAAGAGATGCATCAGAGCCTGAATTAAAGTTGCCTCTGTTTCTGAAGGTTTTCTCCCGATTATGTGTTAGGATTATTCTTCTGGGTGGCCACTTCCTGGGTATGAGTCTGTGTCACAAACGGGCTTAAACTGAGGTCAGGGACGGGAGTGTTGTTCTGTCTCTCCTAAATTATGTAGAAGGCTCCCAGATACCAGTGTGGTAGGCAGATTACAAATGCATCTAATAAGTATAGGTTTAGATGCTCATTTGATTGTGTTTTGCTTTACAGGTCGCCACATTATGCCTGCCCTGAAGTGATCCGGGTAAGTTAGCTTGTACTCTCAGCATTTGTATAAAAGCATGTCACTCGTTACATGGATGCAGGCAGGTACCCTCTATAGGAAGTGATCCCAAGGCAGTCAGCATTGCAAATGCTTAATGTGACTGTCATTTTCCTTCATGTGACAAGGCCCAAAAGCGAGTTACACCACTAGTATAAAGGTCATGAACATATGTCACTCTGAGGGCAGAGGTCATTCATAGTGGCACAGCTACTTCAGTTGCTTGACCAGCCAGAAGTACAATGGTTTTGTTTTCCATGTTATTTCCATCCAGTGGACCTCCATGTCCCCTATGGAGTCCCTAAATATCCCCTCAAGCTGAAGAAAGCCGGATTGGACTGTCAGTGCTGTTACTAGTTTGCTGTTGAGCAATAGGAGGTACTCCCTTCTCCAACTCTTTCTTCTTCCCCTAAGGCTGGCTACTGTAGGCTCTGGTGGCCCAGGGCTCCAAAGACCAGGTTTCCCACCTATTGATGCACAGCAGTAATATGAAGCCAAGTGGTTCAGAAAATCAATAGAAGAGAATTGCCAGAAAACATTACAAGTTAGCAAATAATATGACCCATTCCGAGCTCCATAAAGAGCTAACCAGGAGAGAAGCAGCTTCTTGATATCCTGAAGGCATCTCTGACATTTCTGATTAAGTGCTGACTCCTCAGTTCTTTTACTGCTCCATGGCCATTCCCTCCCTTCCCCATATTGTAGGCTTTGCTCTCTCACATCCCTCAGACAAGGACATAACACTGATTTTCACAAGAACCCATGAGCCGCTCTGGCCTGCTACTTAGGTAGCTCTCCAAGAAAGCAGCTTCTTGTATCAAAACTTCAGGTTTCCCACTCTCCCCTCCCCCATTATTCAAGGATGGCTAATTCTCTTACTAACAAGCATTCATTTAAACTCCTATCTCTGTTGCCCAGGGAGAAAAATACGATGGGAGGAAAGCGGATGTCTGGAGCTGTGGAGTCATTTTATTTGCATTGTTAGTGGTGAGTCATCAGCCTTGCTACCTCCTTTAAACAGAAAAAAAAACCCACAATGCTGCTGTATTTCATGTTAAATCTACTGACAACATGTAAGTCTCTCCTGGGTACCCTCTCTCTTTCTGTATCTCTCAGCTGCATCTTCTATCTCTCAGCATCTGTCCCAAAAAGGAATGCATGACAAATATTTCACTTCGACTTTGAAGGGCTGCCATCCTGTACAGCAGAGCAGAGGGGATTGTGGGAAAGCTGCTTCCCTATATGCTCTTTGCTCTGTTATTGTGGGGCAGCACTTTAAGAACCTGATTCAAAACTCACTGAAGTCAATTGGCCCCAGAGGGATAGGATGGTCAGGGTTGCAACTTCAGGACAGGGTGGATCCTAGGCTGCCCTTCATAGGATCAGGAAAGTGGTTTGGTGTGGCGTATTTTTACATGTATATGCATCTTCATTCAAATGGTTTTGTCAAGATCTGAGTGAAATGTAACAGCTGTGGTTCATGCCAATTTTGAGCCTCTGTAAACTGCATTTAGTGCAGTTGAGAATGTAGAATTGAGCCCAAAGTACCCTGTTTCAACTGGTTTCCACACAAATAATAATTCCTTTCCTGGCACCTAAAATATTCTGTTTCAGCATTTGTTCCTGGCTCAGTGAAAGGCTCATGAGCTGCACAGAACTTGTTCTGAGTTACACAGCTGGTATGAAACCCCAAAACCAGACAAAAATTGTAACAGAACTTGAAATCAAGTGAGTTTTGCCTCTGTTCAGCTTTATACAGGAAATCTGGTTTGTACTCCCATAAGCAAGAAGTAGGATGCCATAAGTGACAAGTAGGATAGACTTAATGTGTCTGAAATTATTAGTCTTGTTTGTAATATGTCAAATGATCATGTACAGTTACAAACAGCAAAGCTCCTTGCTCCGTATTCTGTTGTCCTTGCATAGTTACTATCCAGTTCTCTCTCAGGCAGACTTCTATTGACATCCAATGGGAGTTTGCCTGAGTGAAGAATGGGAGGAATAGCTGAGTAAAGAGCTCGTGATTTGACCTTTTGAAACAACAGGAAAAAGAGTCCCAGAAAAGCTGCCTGGGAGTTATCAGCGTGAGTACTCCGTTCTCAAGAGGATGGATGCCCTTCGAGATTTTGTACCCCACTGTCTCTGGAAAATGTCTTGGGTTGTTTCTAGGTATAAACCTGAGCCTTTAAAGCGGTTGAAACTAGCCGATCACTGATGCTCAGTGCCAAGCATCAAGTTAATTACATCAAGATAAACACCCACGAAAAGTCTTACGCCATAATAGCAATTGCTAGTAATTAGTAGGCTTTAGTTGCTACGTCCAGGAAATGCTGTATTTTATCATGAATTAGAGAATTTTTCACTTGATTTATTACATTAGCCAAAGTACCTAACTCTCAATATTGATTTTGCTTTAAGTCCTGAATAGTTATGAGGAACTAGGTAACTGGAGGGATTGGTAATGAACAGGAGGCTTTTTGCTTCTAGGCCACTAGTATGAACAAACACAGGTCGGTAATGACTAATGGTTGTTAGCATCAAATGGGCTTTTGGTGGCCTCTGTAAATAGATTTGTTGGTCTCGGTCTGTTATATACACTGTATTATCCTACCCAAGCATTACATGCACTGAAGTAAATACAGTGTAAACACTGACATTTAGAGCCTGGCTGTAAGAGTTGCTGAGAACCCGCAACTTGCATGGATTTTGATGGGACTCGAGAACACCGCACATCTACCAGGATCATGCCAGTAATTTTTGGGGAGAGAGATTCTCTGGTGGGCTTGTGATAAAACCATATCATAGTTTCATCCAGTGGACCTCGAGAACCTTCAAGCTCTTAAAGCATCCTAATTCAACCCTGGGGCACACGGGAAAGAATTCTGGAATAATGTTAATGTCCCAAACAAACTCCTGGTTGATGACCCCAGAAAAGAATTTACAGCTTTTAACCTACCCTAGAAACAATAGTCTGTATTGAATCATTTCAGAACATTGCATGGCAGATGTTATCATCTCTTACATCTCTGGAAGATGAGAGAGAATGAACAATGTGACGGTGGTCACCAGTTGCAATCTGTGAACCATATTGTAAATCAGTGCCCACTTCGATTGTTTGCTGATGGCATTTTGGACTTGTGCCAAGCCACTTCCAAAGCCACACATTGGCTCACTAATCTGAACTTGGTTACTTGAATGTTGCTGATCACCTCTCTGCTACTAAATGTTGAGTTGAATTTAAGTGGATCCCTGAGTCTTAAGAATTTGCCTGAGAAGGCAACATCATATTTTGCATTATGTTTTAGTCTCTTGTTCATTTTCCAATTTAAAAAAGTTTAATATAAAAAAGCTACGCCCAAGGTTCCGTTTCCATGTTGGAAAAAGTAAAGCAATGCTAAGGAATTATCAACAGGTGAAGAAAGTGTGCTTCACTTCTTATAATGGTATAGTGACTTTCTTAATGTCATCCTTTTCTTTTCTTTTCTTTTCTTTTTTCATCAAATTGCTCAACTTCTCACCTTTTGCCCTCTCCCATTCCTCTTTTCTCCTTTCTCCCACCCACAATTCCTCCCTCATGTCCCTACAGGGTGCCCTGCCATTTGACGACGACAACTTGCGGCAGCTGTTGGAGAAGGTGAAGCGGGGTGTGTTCCACATGCCACATTTCATCCCTCCGGACTGTCAGAACCTCTTGCGGGGGATGATTGAAGTGGACGCCTCGAAACGTCTCACGGTAAGAGGGTATTCACTGCAAATCATGTGATCGGTATGTTTTCAGGACTTTCTATCTATGTTTCTGTGTGTGGGATCCCCCCATCCTCTCTCCCTATATGTATTGTTGCACAATTAAAGTAATTCTCCACAGTGCAGCCTTGGTATTCTGGCTTCTCAGCTTAGCAAACTGTGGGTTTGTCATAGAAGTGATGTACTATTAGAGGGCTAGGACTGCCCTTTCACCCCTTCCTGGTGTGGGATCAGCATCTCTTGCACTTCTGGGTGAAGCAATGGTTCATGCATTGTAGACTCCTGAATCTCAGGGTGCACTGCATTGTATCCTGGGTGCATTATAGTGTCCTCTGGCAGCCTGCATACCGGGTTCTTGGAACCATATCTTCTAGAGTCCTTATGCTTTGTGTGGTAGGCTGTGGTACCCTGTGCCCTGGGCACATCATGTTGAGCCCTCTGGGATTCTGTACCCAAGGTGAGTTCCACCGATTCCTCGGAGACCTTACTCCCTGAATGCGCTGGAACGATCATGTCCGTCACTGATACCGTGTTTTGGGGTATTTTGAAAATTTAGCAATAAAAATAATTTTGAAGAGCAAGATTGCCTGCTATTCAGTGGAGGTTTCTGGCTCTGTGGGTATCTTGGCCTTTATAAATCACGTTGCCAGTCCCCAGTGATGATTTTATACAGATTTACTAAGCTCGCAGATTCTGAGTGGGAGTATGTATAAAGAAATGCAAATTTAAAACTCCTCCTGGTTCTTCATTCTGCTAAAATATTTATAAATAAACTCTCCTCCGATCAGTGCTTGGCGCCTCTGCAGAGACTGCTAACAGCAGAATCAGTCTGCACCGGCTGCGATGATGGCTTTGGGAAGCAGACACCTGTCTGCTAGGAAGTAACTGAACTCCTCCTACCTCCAAACTCACTTTATAATACTACCTGACAGCTGCACTGTGGGCTTTGAGTTTCACTCCATACCAAACCAGGTCATGTTCTATTCGGTGAGCCAGAGGTGAAAGGCTTTGTATATTCTTACTCATATCCTCCCTGAGCCATCCTGCCCCTACAAATGAGTAAAGCAGGTCAAAAAAATTTCAAACAAAAATGTTCATTTTTTTGAAAACAGACCATTTTTCTAAAAAAAAAAAAAGGCTAACAAATTGTCAATATTTTTCATTTTGTGTGTGAATTTCTTACCTTTTTTCTATATTTTAATTGAAAACATTATCAAAATGGTAATCAGACCTATCCATTTACTGAAGATTTGGTTTTCAATAAAAATCTGGGGAAAAACGGGGGGGAGGGGAAATTGGAGTTTTTTAATAGAAAAATGGCTTGGTTAACACAGTCAAACAAAAACAAAATGAAAATAGAGAATTTTTTTACAAAAATAGGCATTTTTCAGCTGCATAAGGCCCTGATCCTGCACCATTAACGTCAATGGGAGCTTTGGCATAGAGAGGAAGGATGGCTCAGTGGTTACAGTACTAGCCTGGGACTTGGCTTCAATTCCCTGGTCTTCCAGAGACTTCCTGTATTGCCTTGGGCAAGTCACTTAGTCTCTCTGTGCCTCAGTTTTCTATCTGTAAAATGGGGATAACAGTACTTCCTTACTTCACAGGGGTGTTGTGAGGATAAATACATTAAAGATAAGGCACTCAGATACTAAGGTAATGTAAATACCTGAGATAGATGGCATGCTATTCATTTAGGGATTGATCTATCTAGTGTGCTTTTGCATACAAAGATTACTAGCTTGTTTAGGAGTCCACCACTTTCCTTATAAAGGAAATATTCAATAATTGGTTCTTCAATCTAGCAGAGAAAGATATAACAAAATCTAATGGCTGCAAGTTGAAGCTAGACAAATTGAGACTGGAAATAAGGTGTAAATTTTCACCAGTGAGGGTAATTAACCATTGGAACACCTTACCAAAGGTCATGGTGGATTCTCCATCACTTACAATTTTAAAATCAAGATTGGATGTTTTTTCTGAAAGTGATGTTCTAGGAATTGTTTGGGGGAAGTTCTCTGTTCTGAGTTATACAGGAGGTCAGGCTAGATGGTCACAATGTTCCCTTCTGGGCTGGGAATCTATGAAAAGGTCCTGGTTCCAGTGAACTGAGGGTGATGAACCAGGTGTCAGACACTAGACCCTCTTCAGTGTGTCAGGGCTTTAGGTTCACCTTTGAACCAAGCTCATTTTATAGGGCTGTCTCTGAATTTTTGGCATTACTTAATGCAGCAAAGCACATGCAATAAAGGAGGAAAAATGCTTAAAGTCATTCTGGAGTGACTCACTCCTCATCCTGATCAAACACCAAAGCTATTATTTTCATTTTTCCATAGGAAAAAGCAAACAGGTCTGATGTACGATAGCTTGAGGACAGGGAATAAGAATGTGAAATGAATTTATTCAAGCGATAAAAGCTGCCGGGGGGGATGGACACAACACAGAGCTCTTCTTTATTGGCCACAATCTGTATTTTCATTATTTTGGGAGCTCTCAATTTGCTGTCCCCACTGCCTGCTGATGGCACACTTGTCTTTCCATTGGGTTAGCATCTTCTTCACTTAGACAGCCATATAAAAGGGATCTGTTTGTTTATTGCACTAGGGCTAGGATGTGAAATTCATTCTAAGGAGAGAGCTGGATTCCATGTTAGTTGTGGTCCATGGAGCAACGTATAAATGTAGGACTACATGCTACCCCCAATCCACAGCCGATCTCCCACTCATGCCAATGGGAGATTTGCACAAAGATCAAGGGTAGAATATGGCTGGTACGTAGTAACCAAGTTTGAAGCTATTACTATTATTTATAATTTGTTCAGTACCTTAATGTCATATTCACCATCGCTCATTGGGAAAATATGGTCACCCACAGGAGCGCAACCATTTTTGCCCTTTTTACCCCTCCTCTCTCTGTTTTGTTCCTTCTCCCTTATCTTCTATCTCACTTCTTTTCTTACCAATGCAGTTTCCTTCCTTACAGCAATTCCCACTTCACACAGGGCTTCACACTCCCCATTCCATCTGCTAAAATGATCAACAACAAAAGAGTTAATGTTGACATTTAAACTACCATCATTGGGCTGTAGCGCCAACATCCCATTAGGATTAATGGAGGGTGGGGCAGTTCACACCTTTGAGATTTAGGAAGCTATCACTGCCTCTGTTTACACACTCTTCATTTTTGGAAACCATGAGAGCTAGGGTGAAAAAATGTTATTAAAGCATATATTTTGCAGAATTTGTATATGTCCTGTCATGCAGCCAGCAAAATATATCAAATGTGCACATGTCTGACGCTTCTGCACTAGGGAGCTCACTTGGCTTGCCATGAAGGATGCTTGTATTCATTGCACTAGAGCAGTGATCTCCAACCTTTTTACGCACAAAAGCACTTTTTGAATTTAAGATCAACCCAGGATCTACCTCGCCCCTTCCCCGATGCCCCGCTCCTTCCCAGAGGCCCCGCCTCACTCACTCCATTCTCCCCTCCCTCCGTCGCTCACTCTCCCCCACCCTTACTCACTTTCACCCGGCTTGGGCAGGGGGTTGGGGTGCAGGATGGGGTTCAGACTCTGGACTGGGGCTGAGGGGTTCGGAGTGTGGGAGGGGGCTGAGCCTGGGGCAGAGGGTTGGGGTGCAGGAATGAGGGGTGCAAGCTCTGGGAGGGAGTTTGGGTCCAGGCGTCATATGGTCACACTGCACCTAATCTCATAGAATCCACTGGACATTTCATGAGTTTTACTTTTTATTAGTGTTGTTTGTGGTTTATAGATCCAAAATCCTTCAGGGATTGTCACAAATCAATGTAACATTCTCAACTGTGGGGTGTGCATTTGCTGAGCCTGGGGCTAGGGGTTGAGGTGCAGGAGTGAGGGGTGCAAGCTGTGGGAGGGAGTCTGGTGCAGGAGGGGGCTTCGGGCCAGTGCAGGGGAATTGGGTGCAGGAGGGGGTGCGGCGTCTGGGAGGGAGCTCTGGGCTGGGGGTTGGGGTGCAGGAGGGGGTTTAAGGTGCAAGTTCCGGCCGCGAGGCACTTACCACAGGCGGCTCCCGATCGGCGGCGCAGTGGGGCTCATGCAGGCTGCCTGCCTGCCATGGCCCCATGTCGCTCCTGGAAGCGGCTGTCTGCTGGCACTTCTCTGCATGCGACCCCTGGGGGGAAGGGGGCAGCGGGTCTCCGTGTGCTGCCCGCGCCTACAAGTGCTGCCCCCACAGTTCCCATTGGCTGGTTCCCCGCCAATGGGAGCTGCAGGGACGGTGCTGGGGGTGGGGGCAGCGCGTGAAACCACCTCACCCCTCCCTGCCTTCCCCCAGGGGGCTGCACGCAGAGACATGCCAGCAGACAGCCGCTTCTGGGAGCGGCGTGTGGCCATGGCAGGCAGGCAGCCTGCCTGAGCCCGCTGCACCACTGGACTTTCAGCGGCCCGGAGATTGCGATCGATTGGCCGAGGCTCCAGGATCGGTGACCACTGTTATAGATGGTCTTGTAGTTAAGTCATTGGGAAAGTCACTTTAATTTCTCTCTGCCTCAGGTCCCCATCTGTAAAGTGGGGGAATAATGATATTCCCTTTGTCTGTCTTGTTTATTTAGACTGCAAGCTTTTCAGGGCAGGGACTGACTGTGTGTGTATGTACAGCACCTGGCACAGGAGGGTCCTAACCTTGGTCAGAATATCTCGGGCTTACCTCTGCCTTCAGTTTAAGTTCTGTTTGTCCACGAAAACCCATATTTTAACATGATACAACAGACTAATGCTTGGACATAAAGCTCTTTTTGAATATAGAAGGGGCCTGGTAAATGAATTGGCCTATTAAAAGGGCCAATTTACGGCACATCGAGGTTTGAAACTTTGCCTCCTTTGTTGCCGGGGCACATTGGGAACTCTTGCACTAGCGCAAATTAGAGATGGGCCAAACCAGCAGCCCCCACCCCAAAATCCACAAACTTTGGGAGAGTTCAGATTTGCATCAGAACTTTGCAGCTCTGGCCTGTCACCGACGCTAAGGCAGTTGATGTGCTGAGCCACTGCCTCTCATTGGTTCCTTCTGTCTGTATCCAGCAGTTGTCTCGTGTCTTGTACCTAGACTGTAAACTCTTAGGGAGGACCATCTTTTTGTTCTGTGTTTGTACAGTGCCTAGCCTAGGGCGGTCCTGATCCTTGACTGGGGCTTCTAGGCGCTACTGCAGTACAAATAATCAGAATAATAAATTATGATGGTGCATTTTTCTGTAAAGCTTTGGTATTGGGAAATCCCCTCCCCCTTCCCAAGGCCACCATTCAAGCATGAGGAAGCCTCCACTGGCTCTGTGAAGGTAGAGGTTGGTTTTGTTGTTTTAGAGATGGCTTCTTGTGGCAAGTGCCTGCAGTGGAGAGGAGATATGGGGACAGAGCATTTTTACAGCCTTCATATAATGGCATTCCATTCGGGGAAACCCCTGTGAGAACAGTGAGAAGATCCCTGTGGGAAGAGCTGTTAAATGCCTTTGTCACTTAAATGCATTTAAACATTGTGTTTAAATGATGGCAGAAGGAGTGAAATTAACTCCCACTGTGGCTCACCCTCCCCTACACTGCATCCTAAAAAGCCTACAGTCTTCTCCTTGTCAAAACCAATCGCCCTCCCATAACCCCTCCTGTCACTTTAATGCAGACGAAAAGCAAGAAAGCATTAATTAATTATCTTTTAAAAAAAACAAAACAGGGAAAATGTTGGCGTCAGCAAGCACACTTGTATGGTATCATAATAACAATTCAATGCAAATCAGAATAGCGATTGTTTTTGTAAAGCACTTTTCATACTTGGGGTATCCCAAAGTGCTTTACAATAATTATTTCAATATGGGCAGCGCTGCAGTTGCGTGGGCAAACAGCAGCCATTGTGCACTCAGTGAGAGTTCTCATACAGCTTTGGACCTGTTTTTATGGCAAATGCAAAGTGCTATGGGATCTTTACCTTAAATTGGAATGGCCAGCAGAGCAGACATCTGTTTAATGTCTCATCTGAAGGTCCTGTTACTGGGACATGAACTTGTGACCCCCTCTGACTGGGAAACTGAAGTGCTGGTGCCTGAGCCATATTGACACTTCTGCTTATCACAGCCACACGAGGACAACCTGACACAGAGAGACCAAAAGGACTGTAAAAGAAACAGGCATGAAAGAGACTTGAATGTATCTTAGCCACATCACCTGCCCTCCATCCAAAATCATTAATAGCTACCCCCTCCCTAGGGTATATATTATGTACTGGTGGCATATATGCATCCTGTGGGGGTCTCTCCCTGTGAAATGGCAGCTGTTGCAACAACATAAAGGAGACCTGTACAACAACCCTTTAACAGGTCCTTCTATAAGTATACATGGTGATTGGCCACATTAAATCCCTGGTGTGGAGCTCTGGGAGGGAAATAGGAAAGAGGGAAGGTGTACAAACTGGACTGTCTTTTTTATTCTGTGTTTGTACAGCTCTAGCACAGAGGGGTCCTGGATCAGTTCTGGAGCTTCTAGGCACTACTGTAATACTAACCATAAAAATTAATGAATACGTACTGCTATCTTCTAGAGCATGGGTTCTCCTGGCTGAGACCCATGGTCTGGAACATGGTGGTGTGCGTGAATTAATTAATTCAAGGGGGCAGCTCGCAAATAGGTATCAGGATGTCATGACCCTGCCCTTACCAAAGGCTAAATGGGAGAGGATTTTTGGTGAAGGGGCTGTGGAAAAGGTTAAAAGCCACTACTGTTAAGTCCACATCACCGACTCCAACCTAACAGGAGGAACAAACATGACTCTCCTCCCTCTTTGAGCCCAAACACCTGAGCTCCAGTGATTGAAAAACTCCTGGTGATAAGTGGAGGCAGACACACCTACTCTTCTCACTGTCACACAGGCATGGCTACTGCTTCTGCTCTGTGGTGGTAAAAGGGAGAATGGGGAATCCAGTTGGAACCTTTTGTGTGATGGTGATATTAGCTGGTAAGAAGCAGCAGGCTTAACCCTTTCTTTCTCAGTTCTAAAGAAGGTCATTCATCTCTCTTAGCTACCCTTCCCCCCTCCCGTCAACTGCATTTCTTTCTTGTCCTTGGATTCTAGGCAAACCCCTGTCACACTTAACAAACCCTCTCATACAGAGTCAGCCTGTGCTCTGCTGGGCTTTCCAGGGCGAGGAGCCATTGTTATATAACATACAAAAACCTGGGTTTCCTCTTTCTCTCTGTCAGTCTCCTTCTCTGTGTCTCCAAGCACCTGTCTGTCTGTCCCTCTCTCTCTTTGGCTTGCCAGTTCTCATTAGCCTGGAAATGAAGTGGAAAGTAATAAGGGCAGGACAGCTGTCTCCGTTCTTGCTGACCGGTTTAATGGGCCTCTGATTTCATCTTACAGACATTATGTGAGCTTCCTTCCAACTCTCCCCTGCCTCTCACTGGTACACTGCTGAAGCCCATGTGTGTGCACTGTACACTCATGCGCACACAGAGACACCCACATACAAAGGTTCCTCATGTGGTACAAACTCTTGGCATCTGCAAATGGTCTTTTCCTGCTAGGATGCTGCTGCAGACACACAGGCTTAGATTTGCTGTAGGGGTATATCTGAGCAGGGCTTGTTCTCTCTGTTGATTTGGGAGAAGGGTTCAGCAGGAGTTTCTTTTGGAAGAGTGACTTTTTCCTGTGCTCGGGAAAAATGTTGCCACCACAAAACAGCCCCTGGAGCCTGCCTTCTGTAGGCAGACATCCCTAGTGTCAAACTTTGGTAACTGGCCAGTCCTCCACTGTATTTATCATGGTCTGTCCAGCACCACAGTCATAGCAACCACTGTCTCACCATTCCCTTGGATGTAGCATGTAGTGAAGGGTCCCTGACTGGAGTGGGAATGGGTTGCAGGACCCAAGGTCAGCAGAGGAGATTGGTGTCTGGAAGACTTGTGCTGGGGCACTAAATTATATTACCATCAACTCACTCCTCTTTGTCTTGATGAAGCTGTTATAATGAACATGTGGCCCACCTGGAGTGCACCTTGGTGGAAATCAAGCTGCACAAATCTCACTTTACTTACCTTTGTGAACATATCTCCTGTCTCAAAGAAAAAACAAATCCTATAAGAAAATAGGCTGGAGTTTGGAGTGGCAGCACCATCCTGTAGGCAGGCGTATGTCAATAGCAGGTTTTGACTGACTTCAATTGGATTATGCGCCTCTTAGCTTATTTTTCAGAACACTTGCCTGTGAACCCTAGTGGAAGCTGGGTTCTACACCCTGCCTGTGGATCAGTCATTATGGCCTGTGCACCTCCCTACATTTCAGGAGATACATTATGGCCTCCCTGTGACTGTGTCTATATCTATTGAAAAAAATAAACTTTATACCAGTGCCTAGTGATTCCTGCTCCTTTGTTCTTGGTGCCCCGAGTGACAGGCCCATTTGGAATGGGGCAGGTGAGCCAGCAGATGCTTTGTATGCAGTGTAAAACTCTCATCATTTGGGTGCATTAAGATAATTGCACCAGGGCATCACAACTGAGATTCTTACTTCCGGACTCTAAGGAGGGTGACCGAAGCCCAGCTACAGGCAACCCTCATATTTGGATGCTTTATGCAGTTTTCCAGTTTTTTGCTTTTTTTATTTTTTTTGCTGTACTAACTCCTTGTTTTCTCTTTCTTTGTAGCTAGAACACATTCAGAAACACATATGGTATATGTAAGTAACATTTTTAAAAATCTTATTTACTGTCTTCAATATTGTTGCTGTTGCAGGGAGCTGGTAATCTAGAAATCTGTGAAATGGACAGACTTGGATGACATGAAAACAGCTTCCATACAGGCATGGGCCAGGAGGTGAAAGAGGGAACATCCAGTGAAGATGAAGTTTTAGCCTATGCAGTGAATACAGTCTCCTCTGCGTAGATTCAGGCTAGGGACTCTCGTATACAGGAAAAACCTATGTGGCAATGGTTTCAAATAGGCCCTATTTAACTGTGTGCACTTTCCATACCAACATATTGCTGTTTTTTTTCTGAATGTACTATGCCAGAGAGGGTAATTCCTGGGTGAACAGCAAGGGACTAGCAGACACACTTACCTGGATACCCAAGTAACTGCAGGGAATCCCTAGCAAAATCTTAGTAAAACCCTCTTGACAGGCAGACTTTCATGGGTTCCTCTCTGGCATTTATGGCTTTTCTCCAAATAGGGGGAATAATGAGAAACATTATTAGAAAATAAGTTTTTGTAAACAATCACCTACTTCATAGGCCTTCTTCCCCCTTCTTTACAGTAAATTAAGAGGCTGGCTCATGACCTCATAACCTGCTGATGAGTGATAGTTCCATGGCTTGACTGACAGCAGCAGCCTCACGCCGTGGAAAAAGAAGTCTATAAAAAAAGGCGATTCCCTTCTGATGATTTGAGAGCATGGAAGACTGCTGGCTTTTTAAAGTGACCTTGCATTTTTGTGTAACTCTAACAGTCCTTCGTGAAACACTGATAAATAGGATTTTTGCTTTATGCTGATGATATCCCAGTAAGATTAAAAATAATCCTTTGCAAGTGATAAACAAGAAGGTGGTGCTTTGTTACACACCTCTGGGCGGTCAGCACATCTGGAAGTTCCCTGCGTGTATGCTGTAGAAAGCCAGGTCTCGACAGCCTTGCCACCACTGCTTACGAGATGTTTTGTAGGATGCTGTTTGTTGTTCCTGTCAGTCATTTTATTTTTTAAGCCTTTCATCTGGGGACAGCCTCTTAATGATTTTTCCTATGATTTTATTGTATGGGCATTATTCATGCACTGGGCTCAGTTGACTTCCATGGGAGTTGAGGATGTTCAGCAATCTGCAGGATCACATGTTTTGTTGCTAGCTGGCCTGAACTGACGTAGCACTATGTCCACAGCTTTTTCAAGCTCTCTGGAGTTGTCAGTTGACATGATGCTTTTTAATATCCAGGAAGATTTGGGGTTTTATAACAGAAGGGTTTTTGTTTGTTTGTTTTAAACCATCACTGATGATCCTATGCCAAATTGAAAAAAGAATTTAGTGTTATTCTCCCACACTGTGCCCCCAAACCAAATCCCACCCCCTGAGATTCCAAACTAAAATGCTGCTTATGATAGATTGTGCAGATGTTCATAATGTGATCATCCCACTTGTTTCTTGCATGCTCTGTATGGAATGACATTAGCTGATTGACATCCCTTTTCCTTCTTTCTTGCATGCTTGGATCTGAAATGAAATTCTTAGAAGTTAAATTAAATTTTTATGATCATTTATATTTTCGTAGTAAAGCGTAAGTGTTAACGCCCCAGTGAGATTCAAACTGTTCATACCTCACGAAGCTATTGTTTCAGATTATCTGTGCACTCAGAAAGATAACACTGCATCACTTTAAACAAGGGTCACAGTTTCAAGATTTTATTTTGCAGCCATAAAAGTTAGACTATTTTCTTTTTCAATGAGGGCCCAATTCTCCACTAACTTGCACCTAATGGAGTCATTTTCACCTGTGAAAATGGAGCATAAAACTACCATTCTGATCGAGCAGTGTTTAATGTCCTCTTTGCACTCACTTTGCATGGTCTATCGATGCTAACAAGAAGAGAGTGGCTGTAGACAGAATTGTGTGTAAAGACCACAAGCTTTGCGAAGCACTTTAGGCTTCTATCTATTTGATTTAATGCACATTACGATCCAATATAAAACCTTTATTCACAGCCATGGATAGTTTAAGATGGCCGATGAGTGACTTGAAACTTGTACTCGGTGCTTGAGAAGTGGTTTCACTTAATTCTTTAAATGGATACTCATGGTCATGTTAATCTATGAAAAACATTTACTTGTTGTTAAGAATAATCACACACACACACACACACACACACACACACACACACACACACACAC